GTACTACTATACCTTTGAACTGTGCTAAGGATATGATCATAAATCAAGGACTAATTATATAATAATTACTTAATAACATTTACTGAAATATATTGAATAATTTTAAAAGTCTCAAACTTTATTAATATACTAGCTGTACCCGGCCACGCATTGCTGTGGCCCAGTCTGGGCGTAGTGGGGCAGCAGGTGGGTGTTGCCATTGGTCAGGACTCAGGGCTGCTGGGCCGGGCGAGGCTGGTTGGGGGAGATGGTGCCGGGACTGTCAGCCTCATGGAAGTTGTTGAGCATCTCCTCGGAGAGTTGCGCTCAGGCTCCCCAAAGTCGGTGGCCTGGGAGAGTGACATGTCCAGGATGTCAGAGGAGGAGAAGTCCTTGGCATGCCGCCTCACGGGGAACCCAGGGGCCACCGCAGCCTCGCTGCACCTCAGGCTGACACTGCCGCCGCTGCCCCGTCGGAGCCAATTTGGTGAGGCCGTAGCGGGCTGAGAAGCTCCTCTGGAACTCCGCTGGGCTGGCCCGGGGTAGGCTGGCTTAAGGGTGGGGGGAGGCAGCCGAGGGATGGCGCAGGTGGCACCCCACTGCAGACAGCAAAGGCCCAGTGGGAGGAGAGGGGACAGAGGGGAGGCCAAAGGGCTTCAGCTCCCCTTGGCGGAAATGGTCGAAGCTCAACAGAGGAGGGGCGGAAAGGGGAAAGGGTGCGGCCGCAGCCCAGCCACACATATAAAGGGACCGTCGGGACAAAGCTGGAGAGTGGCCGAACTGTTCCGAACATACTATACTCACTAAATGGACGCTAAGGTAAACGACACAGCTCAATTCCAACGCAATGTCACACGGAATAATTAAATCAAAATGAAAATAAAACAAAATCTATGAAAATTCAATATAACCATGCAATCGGAAACATTGAAATGGAATCATGAAATATTTAGTATAGCGTGTGTTACTTTTATATCCACCAGATGGCACTGGTTTTCAAAAAATCATGTTTTTACAGAAAATCATGTTTTTACCTGTCAACAGGTGTGACATCTATGTAATATATTTATATAAAAACATTCGCGTATTTGAATGCAACATTGTGTCAAAATTTCAAAGCAATCAGTGAAGAACTTTTGGAGATTAGCGATTTTGAACAAACAACCATTACATCTTTATTTATATAGATTATAAGTTTATATAATTCTGTCTAGGCATGCAGCAGCATAAAAGAGGAACTTGGGGGGGAATCATAATTTTGGCAATACTTACCTTGTATTTCAAGCAAAATTTAAAATTAAAGCACACATACACATAAATTCATATCGAATACTTGGTAAAAAAAATCAGACTTGCAAATAAGATGTTAAATAGATATGTAAGCACTATTTGGAGCCACTAAAAAGCATGCTGCTATTGCAGCTGTAACCTCTCTACCAAGATATAAACCAATGTCTGCTTACAGCTCTTGTATACTTGGATGTTTCTAAAGTATCATATGTTACCTTTTTGCAAATAAGCTTTTCAATCATTATGCACAATATTAGTAACAGCAACATAACTATAACGCCATGTCATTCATAGAAGAGCCTTACCTCTGCATCATCTCCAAAAAATCTGTACTTATAACCACACTCTATAAACAGAATAGTATCCT